ACGTAGTTAAGGATAAACTGCCTGTTTTGTTCTAAATGCCAATGGCAGGAGGTAGACTTCGGTAATGGAGTTAGAACTTGGGAATATTGTTAGCTTTTTTGCCGTCAGCTTCATAAACACAAAACAGTATGTTGAAATTTTTCATAGTCTTGTATGAAAAGTTCGTTGTAAGACAGCTTTTCACTATGCTAACAATAGTTTGCGCTTTTAAAAATGTTGCAAGATTTTAGTCAGTGTATTTCACGTAGATCAAAGCATGTGTGTTGAATTATCTTCTCACCTTATAGCTTCCCAGGTATTTAGCCTTCCCCACGGCTCCCATGTCCTCTGCCTTTTGATCTGCGTTCTTTGTCCGCCTGTCACTTCAGGCACGAACAAGAAAATAGCCAACATGATTTAGCTGTATTACTATGTTGACCCTAGATCCATGTCCTACGCTTCCGGTTCCCCGGAAAGACATTAGCTAAGGGATAAAGGGCGATCATCTAGATATGGTGCCTTCATTTTCCCCTGCATATTAGAAATTTTTCTCTTTTTTCTTATTTATTTTTGGTAATTTAAGTTTTAAGAGCCTGGCTGAACTCCTCTGGAAGCACTAAGAAGGGGAACAGGCAACAAATTATTTCATATTTATTCCAAACTTTAAATCAGTACACTGAGGTTGAAATATGAGACTGCATTACCTGCAGAGTTACCCGGGACTTGTTCAGAGTCTTCAGATACTGACAGAACAGTAATGCCTGTTCCCTGCTCTCCCATGAAGCCAGCAGAGATTTAAAACTTACCCGTGACCAACAGAGATTACGTGCAGACAAAACTTTCATCCTCTGTACGACGTTCCCAGTCGTCTCCATACAGCTTTCCGCGCAACAGCGGGGGAAACACTCCGTATTGTGACATGTCGTGTTACACTTGGCGTGAAAACCAGAGCATTCTTGAAGTAAAGCTCTGGATCCTTTAAATCACAACCTGCTTTGTTATGAAAGTGCAAGAGGAGTCAATGGAGTAGAGACTGACTTGAGACCTTTTTTTTCCTGCGACTTACTGCCTTTCATTTTTTTACCTTCTGAACGTTGTTTCTACTTGGATGTTTTTAGTCTTTTCTTACAGCCTCAGCATTTTATTAGCTATGCTAGTAATAGTCTCTCTGAAAGATATTCATTCCTTGGAAGAACAGCAGCCATCTTCTCCGAGAGGAATGGGGCAAGCTGCTTTTCGCCCAGGTGTACGTGTCTCTCTACCAGCGTATGTTGAGGGGGGTATAATTTTGTGCTGGGCTTCCTCCTCCTTGGTGGTGCAAGGCGTGAGGACGGCGCGTTACGAGGGGGAAGGGTGTACTCCGCTCTATTGCGCGCCGTTAGAGGGTTTGTGCGCGAGCTGGAAGCATAAGCGTCCTGCGTAGAGGCTTTCCGCGTCGGCATCTTCGCGGTCTTCTCACCTTCCGAACAGCTGGAGTGCCAGTTCTTGGGGGAGAAACGCACAGGTACGCGTCTGCCCTCGCATCCCAGATACGCTGAAATCTTGATGCAAAACTTGACAAAATCCCAGTAGCTCTGGCAGCAGGCGTTTCTAAAGTCTCGTCTTCGTAAAATAGAAAAACCACGCTGACAACATTTCAACCCCTTTATTTTCCGAAAGCAATTATTTTTGCATTTTGCTAGTTTCCACCGTGTCAAGCTATCATTCTGTATTTTTGTAATTAGTCTACCTCTCGCAGGAGCGAATCTGGCAGAAAAAGAGACTCGCGCAGAAGAGCAAACAAAACAATCTTTCCACCACTTGGCACACAGGGAACTAGCAAAAAAAAAAAAACCCCAAAGTTTAATATTTGGCTTTTTTTTTTGTCTGTATGTCAGTCACAGCTGTGAAAGATGTTGTCGTGCATTGGGTTTATATTTCGCAATTTGTTGGAGGTGGTCTTTGGCTGAGAGAAAGGATGCGTGTGTGCGTATATTTATGTGTTTATATATACATATATGTGCACATGTATATACACACCTGTGTATACGGATGTATACAGATACATACCTCTGTGTGTGTATAAGGACGTAGATACACACACAGGCGCATATATGTGCATGAGGGTGTATATGTAAGGGGTTCAGTTGGGTGGTTGTGCCGATGTGTCTCAGCTTTGGGAACTGAACTGACTTGAAGCCGAGAGCCAGTGGACGTAGCACAGCTCACCCACAGTGACTGCTTACGGTTCTGGCTGCTGAACTGCCGTTGACTGATGGCGTACCGAAAGTCGTCGCCGTCGTTCGATCTGCAATTTATTTGTTAATGATATACAAGGCTTCACCGTGACAAGGAATCAATAATAAATGCTTTATGCTTTAACAACATAAAGACATGGGAGTTGCTTTGTTTAGAAAAATGTCCCATTCTGCTATCTTTCTCCAACAGTGTTCTATATGGCGTGTTACTTAAAAGAAAACAACTGCGAGTGAACAAATATGAAATGCTACAGACATAAATCTTCACTACCGTTTTCCTACCAAGATGACCTTTGTCTGGTCTATGAAAAGCGTATGACAGTTTAGTCACTTAGAAAGCATTGTTTTTATCATTAGCTTTTATTTTCTCTAAGGCAACATTTGTTTTTCTTCTTTCGTGTATGTCTTAAATGCTTAACCTATATTTTTATTAATTTTAATTAATATTTTTGGTTTCCTATCTCTTATGCATTGTCTTGGTGAAATAGGCTGCCTGAATTTTTTTTAGTATGTACAGTTAGAGTAAATTACGGATTTGTAAATGATTTTATATTTCATTAGCGTTATTTCTGTCCTCTTCATTACAGAACCTGAACTGTTCCTTTTTTGACCTCTAACATCTTTTGTCCTCAAGCTGCTCACCTAGAAGTCTCTGAAACCCTCAAACTTTTCTAAATGTGACTAAGCTGAAAACACTTTTTGAATTTAGCTCACTAGTAAATATATTAAATACAAGTTCTGCTAGCACCACACTTTTAAGTTTTTGAAGTATTAAAATTTTATTTAAAATTTCTACTGTTTGTCATCTCACTCTTCAGACTCTATCTAGAACATAAACCACCTCTTGTTTGGTTTTTTTCAGAAAAGGAGTAGGTGCTTAATCAATGGGGTTTGGGTTTTTTTATAAATACTACTCTGATTATTCCCTAGAGTGTAATATTAATTCAACTTTTATTAACTATTATGTGTAGTGGGAAAAATTGGAAGAGTCTCCACCATCAGTCACTTCAATCGCACCGTCTCCGAGCCTCACTCCCGTAGCTTCGACACCACTAAAACCCCTCCGAAGTACCGCAAAATCCCTGGCGGTAGCACGGCTCTCCAGAAGCTTTCGGGGGGAGGCAGCCGTCTCCTTCCCAAGTCTTTTCCTAACAACGTGTTTCGTTTTCGTAGTCACACCTGTTCATAGACCAACTCTGTTACAGGCGAGGGACTGTCAGAATTTCTCAAGTGCAAAAACTTAATGAATTTTCTTCCCCCTTGTCAATCTCGTACTTTTTAATTAACTCCAATCTAAGTCATTTCTGCTGAAAGGGTATTTACAAAATCTCTTGATACTTAATTTGTGTGTTTGGGTATTTTATTTCAATGTTCTCTGCTGAATGAGGTAATTTTTATCATGTCATGATATAAGCTGCTATAGGATGAATTCAAATTTACTTTCTGTTTTCTTAAGTCTGTCCAAAAAAATGCCTCAAAACATACCATTTAGAGATTTTTTCTCTTTTTTTTCCCGTGATTCCTTTGCTCTCCTAGACAGAAATAGCTTATTCTATCCTAGACCAATGTTATCAACCATAATATTAAAAATTAAATTAAAAATTGCAGAAAAGTCAGCAAACCTTGTAGTGGATATTATTGGGAGTTTCTGGTTGAAGGCATGTTTGCATTCATATTCCTATGAGCAAAGCTCACGGCCATATACAAATTGTTTTTTCACGTTTTTTCGTTAATGTGTTGTAATATGTCTGATGCACAAAAAATATTCTATCTAGGCTTCACTTAGCTTCAAAAATCTACAAGGGCTTATGCTAAACAAGAAACATTTCAGAGGAAGAGTTAGGTTAAAACTTAAAATAAAATTACTGTTATGTTGGAATGAGTCTTGATGACTTAAAACTTAAAAAAAACCCTAATTTATTTTCACTCCATTTAAATGTATTAGTTTTAATAACAAAACAAGTAGAGAAGTTCCAGTGTGATCACATTTTAAAGTAATGACCAAAGATTATCAATATTTTGCTGTATTTCACATTTTAATTTCTTCACCTATGGCATCCTTAATCCCACTCCTGAAGGGACTTTAATTACAGCAGAAATTCCAGTGCTGGGTAAATCTCTGCTTAAGACTCGTAACAGGAGATCTCTTTGGTTCAAAAATCTAGTGTAATTAATTTTATTTATGCTGTTCAACTCTGTTTTCCCTGATATTAAAAGGCATATTGGCAAAGAAAATGACATTATTGCTAGTATAAAATGTCAGCGATGAATCTAACAAGCTTTTCTGTGCCTTGAGAGTCATCTGACTTCCCATTCAGGGAGTTATTGTACATGTTCCCCACTCAGGGATTATTATACCTAAGAGATCTAGCAGTTTAGACAAGACAATAGTAATAGAGAAATCCGAACTGTAATGCTAGTTTTCGTCTGTTTGTTACTATTTTCACACCCGTAACAGACAATTATAATTACTTATCTGTTCCATGGGACCGCTGTAGGAATAAAGTTCACTATTTGTGGTGAGATTTAAAGATGAGAAAAAAAGCTAGATACGTATTAAGTTGTTAAACTTACAGACACATTAGACTATTACAGGGATGAGGGGAGTATGGGATTCACTTAGCTATGAAAACTTTGGTGTGTTCCATTTCATCAACTAGGCTAAAAACAAAACTGATTTGGGTTTTTTTTGGTTGGTTTTTGGTTTGTTTTTTTTTTTTAGAAAAAACATGAAGATCTTAGGAAAAAATATCAAATAGTTATCTCTGACATTTGTATTGGCAGGTTGGCAAGACGTGTTTGGGGAATCGCAATAATTCAACATCTCATTTGAAGACAGCGGGAACAGAGACGAGCTTTCAGGTATTCTGTTTCTGAGTAATTCTTGGGTTTTTATTAAAAGGTCTCTTAATGCAGGCAATTACTTTAAGTATATTTACGCATTCTATGCTAACGCTTTGGAACCAGAACTGCTTACTCGGTTCAGACTTTAATTGTACCTGATTGCAGTTCATGTGTTCAGAATGGCTTCTGGTTGGTAACGATTTGCAAACCTATTTAATACCTGAAGAACTGGACTATCCTAGTAGTCAAATGGCTTGAATTAATAACATGATGTCCATAGCCCCGGGAAAAGGAGAAGGGGGAGATTTCCAAAACAGTTATATACCTGTAATTACGTGAAGCTGTATGCAGCCATCTTGCCAACGGAAAGGTCTTAAGGGAGTTGTATATCTGAGCTCTTTATTTGATAGATCGAGAGAAAACCATAACAATCACCATAATCATACAGCAACATCAGACTTGTATGGTTATGCACTGTCAAAGATTGTTAAATATGCTTTTTTTCAGCAGAGATCAGAATCCTTCTCCAGACATAGTTGACAAATGTTGTATTCTGTTACAATAGTTTAGACTGGTACATCAGTTAAAACAGAAATACAGCTCTATTTGCGCTATTGCAGTGGATTTTTAACTTTTTTATTTGCTTATGTACGTGCATGCCATGTATACAGTGCTTACACTGATGCTGTTTTCACCTTCAACAGAAGTTGCACAGCCCTCCGTGGACTAAACCTGGAGATAAAAAATCACCTGAAAGAAATGAGAAAAAATATGAAGAGTCTGTTAGTACAAAAGAAAAAAAACTCTAAGCCCCGCTAATCTACATGAAAAATGCCCATCATTTGCTTCCATCTTCATATTCTTTTTAGTCCAGAGGCATGAAGTGGACCAGGTTTCTAAAGCATGCGTTTTCCACTGTTTTATGAATGTTTGTAAATTAGTCTAGAATAGACCATTTAGTACCTTTCAGCAATAATCCAAAATGGATGTTTGAAGAAATGCTTTGTAATACAGTCCAGTTTTTGAACTATTGTTCTACCTGATCAGTAACTGCATACTATAAATTATTTTCTTTGTAAACAACAGCCATTCTCAAGTATTTTCTCAGTCTATTCTATTTCACGTACCTTCATGGCAGATTAGGTTTTAAATCCAGTTAAGAATTAAGGGGCAGTTAACATGGGGAAAAAATATCTGTGTAAACAGAGTTGAAGTACAATACAACTCATAAGAGCAACTGTAAAAACGGAACAGCGGGAGTCTATGTATGCTTACCTTTCAGGAATACCATTTCAAATCTGCGTATTTAAACAATAAAAGGTGTTTGATTGATTGGGGTTTTTTTTTTTCTAACTGCCATCACAACTCGTCCTTTTTTCAGCACTGAAGCATTGACAGAAATGCAGGTTTAAAGGGATAGCGATAGAGTGAGTCACGGCTTTTAGGATTCAAGCAAAAATTTTTGCCGGTGGAACTGAATTAAAATTTTATAGCTTGGGTGTACCAGTCGTGGGAAGTCAGTTCTACCCCTTATGTTTGTGCTGATCTCACCAGGATTAATATACTTTAAATGGTAAAACACCACTTTGTCCGCTATAGGTGGCCCTTGGTCTCTACAGCAGAGGAGCGTTTTGGTTGGCGTAAGCTCTGTGACTCCTGGGGTTCTTCCAGTTCCTCATGGGTCACGTGCTCTTTTGACAACAAAGCAGAAAGGAAGGGAGGAAAAGGAAGAGAGAATCCTCTTGCTTCATTGTGTGTATTCATTATTGGTCTTAGTTAGGAATTATTATGCCTCGTTTTCCCGAGATGCAAATCTTTCAAGAACTAGTGCCTTAGGAACCGTTCATTGCCTGATGCCATGCTTTTATGCTTTCCTCTTGCATGAAGTGTTGTAACTTGTAAACTCCCACTCTTGCTTCGTTGTGTGTATGTCGTTATTGGTCTTAATTAGGAATTAGTATGCCTCGTTTTCCCGAGATGCAAATCTTTCAAGAACTAGTGCCTTAGGAACCGTTCATTGCCTGATGCCATGCTTTTATGCTTTCCTCTTGCATGAAGTGTTGTAACTTGTAAACTCCCACCTTCCTCTTACCACACACAGCAGCACATTACAGCTTTTACTAGATTGAAAGTAGTTTGCTTATATCAGTTTTCCTTCCTTTTGAATTGGTTTAAAAAGCAAATAGGCAAATCTTTTATTTGGTTTGGTGGTGCTCTCTGCTCCAGTTTTAGCTTTTAAGATTTTTTTCTATCTTTTAACTCATCTAATAGTTGTCTGTTCCTCACTGGTGTGAATAGTATTTCACCCTGACGTCTTGTAGATACTCCTCTACTCAAAGGTAGCTACTGCAGAATGGTAGGTTTCTTTGCCTGGAGGAATTTCAACATTTTTAAAAAGAAAAGAAACTCATGAGCTGACCAAATGATGGCAAAGTACTGCTCAGCAAAGTCACACTACTATCAAAGTAGATTATCCATGTTAAATGTCAAAAGAAGTGAAACCCTGGCTACAAAAATAGTCAGAAAAAAGATGTGGCTTTTCACACTTGATCCTAAAATCAATCATCAAATTGCACTTACCCAATACCAAATGAATTTGTTTCAGGCAGATGTGGGCCACGTAGCAGACATTTGCTACATTTCAGTTATAGCCACAACAAACCTGGCTGAAGACAGTCTGCTGTATTTCAAAATTTTCAGTGAGCCAGAGACTTGTGCTCCTGTCATACCTACAGCTGCCGCTAATTCCCAGTTATGTCAAAATCAACATTTCTTTGCATATGACACACCTTAATTGAAATATCTGAGGTATGGGTTGAAAAGGTCACTGCAACTGTTCCAGTCATCTGTCTAGAAAGGACATGGATCTTCAAGTACGAGTCCCAGAGGAATGAGGTGAACTGTCCTACCTGGCATTCGTTTCTCCTTTCTAAAGAATTCAGCAGTGCTGATAGTGTATCTGTTGTTATTGTCATAACTGTGTGTTACTGCTGCGTCGAGGGATGGCTTGGGCTTGATGTTCACAACATGAAAAAACTGCACCTTATAAATCAGCAACAATATAGCCTGCTTTTTTCTTTTTTTTTAACTTACATTAAACCAATGAATGGCTGAGTAGACCTCTGCTTTCTGTGAATGCACATCATTTAATTGGTATTTCACCACCAGATAATTAATGTAAATCTATTTACCGTCAGAAAAAGACAAAACGTTGGGATGGGTAGAGCGTTGTGAGGTTATTTTTTGGGTTTTGTTTCTTTTTCCCAAAAGGTTTATTGTCAGAAGCTTTCCTCTAGCCATGGGATCGTGGTCTGGGATATGTTTTCATGCACGTATATTTTCACTTTTTTATGTCCTTTTTCCTAAATGACGGTGAAGGTCAGGTGAGACAGGACTGAATAAAGCCATGTTAGTGGGGAATATTAATCCTCCTGTTTTGATTAAAGCTGTAGAAATCAATTATGTCTGGTCTGAGGATTACTTGACTACCTTCAGATGGGACATTGATTGCCACTCGTTTTCAGTGTGATTAACAGTTTCGCTTCCTGACGATGACGACTGGGGGAATCCCTGCTTATCTTCGTACCTACAATTTTTAGAATAATCTGCATAATGATACAGAATTAAGAAAAATAATGATGGATAAATTAATATTTTATTTGTATATGATGTATGTATATCTGATATGTTTTGTAGGTATGGCTTAACGAATATTGCTATTCTGAAGATTTTAGTCTTCTACTGAGAGGTTGGTACACATTGAAAGTGAAATATATGCTTGACGGTTGTATCTTGGAGAACTACAGTGCAAAAACATATGAACATCTTTTCAGGTTGAGAGGAAACTTCTTTTCAATTTATAAGTGGAAAAAAGAAAAAGCATATTTTGGAGAGGACACTGGGATGTATAAGAGTTTTTGTAGTACAAGTCAAGCAAAAGAAAAAAAAAAAAACACCAAAAACAAAAACCAGGAAAAAAAAAAAAGTCATGACAATGCTTCCAAGCATTAACATTGCTCGTCACTAGCGATGGTGTGTATGTTTTCCCCCGGTGGATCAATAACCCTTCTTTCAGTCCAGCCCTGAGCGTAAGTAGTTTCACATCCCAGCGCTGGGATAAGGCTAAACAGACCTTGCTATTTCCTCTGATTTGCAGTTACTCGGTATTATGAAGAACATGGTCATAATGGAACTTCAATGTACACAATTTAAGCCACAGTCGTACTTACTCAGTCTCTCGAGAATACTCTAAAACCTTTTTATTATGAGGTTCAGAGAGAACCATGTCACTGGGGCTGTTTCCCTGTGCAGACCCGTCATACCACAGGGCAGCACATCTTAAGAACGTGTTTTGTAATTCCATGCAGTCGCCTGGCAACCAGGTCATGGACCATATCCTTCTCTTTGCAAATAAGGCTTACACATAAGGAGACAAAAGGTTTTCCTATCAGATATTCTAAAGTTTAGCAGCTAAAAGCAATTTAATTTCCAGTTTAATAGCATGCCAAACATATTCCCTTTTATAAGAGTATGAGATGGATTTTAGATAGTTTCAAACTTTAAATTTCCATTTTAATTTTACTTTTGCGAACTAGACTACTCTGAATTAACCTCTCTATCCAGCTGTATCTTTGTGCATACATATTTGTAAGAATACATGCATAATATATATCTGCATAAACATAAATTTACATGTAAATATACATACGTGTATATAAATTAAAAATTCTGGAGTAAAATTTAATCCATGGTCAGATTTTACTGTGCATTATGAAATTTTTAACTAAGAGGTGTTCACTTTACCGAATGACAAAGATCACAGCAATGCCTATTTACAAAAATAGAACACTAAATTCCTCTAATCTTCATGTTGAAACGTTATAAAAATGCTTAACCTATTTGTGTATAAAATGGTTCATTTTCTGCAGTGGAACATGATAGCTAATTTTGCTTGAGTTAATTTAATTAGATTTTATTTCTGTTATAATCAACAGGATGCATAAAACTAAGTCTTGATACTTCCCTGCTTAAGAAGGGGAAGTTGTTGGCCTTTCATACTGAATTTTACGTACAGACAGCATTTTTCACTCACAATACAATACAATAACCTGTGAAGTTCATAATTTTTTTTCAGAAATAATGGGCTATGAAAAAACAAAAATTACAATGGCAGTCCAGTTCAGATGCATATGTTACAACGTGGTCAGAAGGACCGACTTTTCCATTTAAAAAATTTCTTTCGATATGAACGGAGGATGCTCTCACTGAGCCTTAGAACATTAAAATTAAGGTACGTTGACTTCTGTCTCTCTGTCTGACCTTGTGGCTTTGGGAAAGCTCTCTCTCACTTCTGTAGATACAAATGATATAGAATCATAGAACAAACTTGTATTGTGTATGGTGTGTATAATACACTACTTTCTATAATGTGAATATATCAATATGGGATAAGAAAGGTTAGTTTTTTTTAAGGCAGATTGTTAGATTAAAAAATGTTACAGAAGCGTATGAAATATTAGCACATTTTCTTTGCTTGTTGGAAAAAAATTCAAATTTGATTTCTTAAAGGGAAGCTCCAGAAGTAGGTGGATATCTGGAAAAATCTCAAACCAGTTAATAATAGCTAGAAATATCTATTTTATTTGTCTGTCTTGTAATTTATGTATTTTTAATATTCTTTTCTGATGACAAGGTGTCTATAAGAAAAATTACCTTTTTTGGCCCCACTTAAAAATGCAAAAGAAAACCATTTAATGATGAAAATAGATAGCAAAGTCTGCATTTGCAATCCTACTTGGTAGTTGCCATC